AGATGTTAAAATTGAGAACAGAAATGGAACTTAGGAAGAAATAGATGAGAAAAAATGTAAGTTCTTTTTACTTGAGATACCCGACTAACTAAAGGGATAGTTCTTCCCAACCCACTTCCCTCTCTTTGAAAAGGAAACTTAGGATTCCGTCTTTAATTTGAACAGCTCAGAGAACACTGCCCTCCCTTCTCACATATTACATAATAATAAGAGTCTCCTTAAATAGAATTTTCTATTTTATGAATCCTAAAATATTCAGATGCATCACTGCAGAAATATAGTGTTTTCCAAGTATCAGAATAAATTTACACTGCAATATTGCAAGGCTAGAGAACCTAACACTTTCTGTCAGCCTAAAATGAGTTTGTTTATGGCATGGCTGATTTCTTCTTTGACCCAGAATTTATTTAGAAATGTTTTAAAATGTACTCACATGTGGAAATGTTTAATCTATATTTTTGTTACAGATTTCTAGCAATTTTATTGTTGTCAGATAACAAGATTTTAGATGAAACCAAATATTTGGCATGTGTTGAGACTTGAATTGTCTATAATACGGTCAGTTTTTGCAAATGTTACATGGGAGTCTAGGAAGAATGTGTTTTCTCCAGTTGTCAGGGAGGGAAGAGCTCTATGTGTGTCCATTTAGATCAGCTCATTACACATGTTGTTCACATCTTCTATATCATTACTAATATTTTGAATGCTTCACCTGTCTATAACTGAGTGAGGCATATTGAAATCCTACATTATGAGGCTATATCTGATAGTTTCTCTCTATAGGGGTTCATGTATTTTGATTCTATTTTATTACCTGCATGCTAGTTTAGAATTTTTATTTCTTCCTTGTAAAATTAAACTGTTATAATTATATAGTGCCTTTCTTTATCCCTAATTTATCTCTAATAATGCTTTTTTTTTCTTTATTTAAAATCTATTTGTCTGATATTAATATGGCTACCTTGGATTTCTTTTGGTTATTATTTGCCTGGTATCTTTTTTAAAAATTCTTTTACTTTCTGCCTTTCAATGGCACATGTTTTAAGTATGACTATTGTAAACACTACCTAGCTGGGTTTTGATTGTCAGTCAGTGGGTCTGGTCCATTTGCATTTACTGTGATTATGAATAATGGGGGTATTTAAATCACAAATCAAATAATCCTTTCAGCAATGCTTAGCTTTAACAGGACACCAAACCAACAACTGCATTCAAGATTCTGCTCAGGGTGGACTGAGCAGGAGGGAAGCACCACTGACAGAAAGGGGCCTGCAAGTCACAGCTGCCATGTGAGTAGCTGTGTGCTACGGAAGCACCTACCGGTGCACTTGGTTGCCCCTGGACAGACAGCTGTGCTGTCTTTGACCACCCGATTCAGAGACAGCCATTTGAAACACTAGGCTTAGTGAAGATTCTGGGTGCTTGTTAGCACCAAATGATTGTTGAAACAGTAGTACTAAAGATAAAATACATGGTACCATTCTATTCCTGCAGTCACTCATGCATATTTGATGTGCAGGGATTTCTTATATTCCATAAAATCATTTTCAGGGTTTCCTTAAACTATGCCTGAAGAACAATCTGCATTGTCTTAAGGCTTTCTGGTAAATCAGGTTTTCATGATTATTGCTATATAATTGTTTTTTACTCCCACTGTGTCACTAGCCTCCTTGTGTTGTTTCTTATCTTTTTCAAATTCATCCAGTGAAGTTAAAAAAATATTTAAATAGTATCTTAACCAAGGATAGAACTATAAAACTGCTTGAAGCTTCCAATTAAACAGAAATAGGATTCTTGTATAATTCACCATTGGAAACACAACAATAATATGCATGATAGTAAAACAATAGCAATTAAGTGCCTGCTAGGTGGCAGGTATTTTGCTATGCAGTCTGTGTGTGTGTGTGTGTGTGTGTGTGTGTGTGTGTGTGTGTGTGTGTATAAAATCCCCACTTAAATATGAGAAACTAAGGCTCAGAGAGGTTAAGTATCTTAGTCCATTTCTGCTGTTATAACAAAATACCTCAGACTGGCTAATTTATAAATAACAGAAATTTACTGCTCACAGTTCTGGACGCTGGGAAGTCCAATCTCAAAGGTACCAGCAGATTTGGTATCTGGTGAGGGCCCGTCCCTCACAGAGCATCTTCTCTGTGTCCTTACATGGTAGAAGGGGCAGACATGTTCCCTTCAATCTCTTTTATAAGGGCACTGATCCCACTCATGAGAGCTCTGCCCTCATGGTTTAATCACTTCCCGACCTCTTAATACTATTACTCTGAGGATAAAGTTTCAATGTATAAATTTTGGGGGGACACTAACATTGAGACGATAGCATTAAATAACTGCCACAAGATCATACAGCCAAGGGCAGAGCTAAGATTCAACCTGGGTCTCTTTTAATCCAAAGCCCATATTACAATGATGAAAAGAACAAGCCCTGCAGTGAAAACCACTGGGCTTCAAATCTGAACTCCACCACTTACAAACTGTGGCAGTGGGAAAGTTATTTACCTTCTGTGTACCTCAGTTTCCTCATCTATAAAATGGGAATAACAATAATATCTATCTATATAGTAGTCATGAGGATTTCATGGGATGATATGAGGGGATGGCTCAGAATAAAGCCTGGCACATAAAGAAAGCTTAAAAATTGTTATTATAATTTCAGGGGGCATTTCTTGGTCTCCTTTATCATTAGGAAGTGAAATCGCTTGTGAAATTCTAAGGTTTCTTTAAATGTCATGTTCATGCAGTTCTCGCCCTCATCTTCATGCATCCTACTCACCTGCCAACCTGACTCTCTGATTTGCTAGTGCTCCCACTGTGGGCCCTCACCTTGCTTCCCTCCAGCCGTTACTGCCCAAGTTAGATGGCGCTTCCTCCTCCATAGGGTGTTCCCTGATTTCTCCAACTGTAACCTTAACTAGCACTTTATGGTTTTCACATGATGCTTAATGGCTATATAGGTCATTCCTTCATTATATAAATATTTCCTGAGCACCTACTGCATGCCCAGCCCTGTTCTAGGCACTGGATCCCTCCTTCATGGAACTTTTATGCTAATTAATGGCATGGGGAGAGACCAACAATAAAAAAAGACACATCAAAACATAAAGAAAATTATCAGAGAGTTGTTAAGTGCTATGTAAATAGTTAAGGTGTGATCCTATGGAGTTACTGGGCAGCTACTTTAGACTGGGTAGTAGGAGATAATTTCTCTGAGAAGTTGATAAGCTGAGATTTGAATGGAAATACCAAGTCAGTGATGTAAATGTCAATGGGAAACGAATTCCAGGAAAGAAGATGCAGCTAGTGCAAAGGCGGGAAGGTAGAAATAAACTTGTGTTGCATTTAAAAAATAAAAAGGAGGCTGGGCATGGTGGCTCATGCCTGTAATCCTAGCACTCTGGGAGTACTGTAGAAATGTTAGCTAAAATTAAAAATTTGTCTGTCTCGCATTGTCATTACTAGCCTCTAAACTTAGAGCAGGAAGAATTACTTATTCTTGTTCTTATCTACCGCAATACCCAACCCATACCCTTGTGTTCTAGAGATTACAAAGTTGAATAGCACTGAAAAATAAAAGCTTATAAAATGAATCAGAGAGTCTCTGATTAATGCCTTCAATGTTATTGTCAACATTACCATCATTACTGTTAAGGATTAATGCTTTAAAAATGTACAATATGTATACAGAAAAGTACAGAAACCATAAGTGCACATATGAATTTTTACAAAGTGAACACACCATGTAATTAGCAACACTCCTAAAAATTTAGTGCCAGAAGATATTCCCCTAAATGAAAAAGCTACATGTCTAAAGATGTTCACACTATGAAAAAGGGTGAAAAAAGCTAATTGTTTGGTGGAGTAAATGTTGGCACATAAACTCAGTGGAACAATATGCAGCCATTAAAAATGATAAATTTGAAGAACTATAGAGCAAAATTCACCAACTCGAATGCCCTCGAGTCAAGCAGGTAGAACTACAAGAAGCAGCCTAGTATAAAATGGTAAGGCATGGGGGAGGTGGGTCAAAGACAGAGTGGAGAGCATGTGCAAGCCCTGCCTAAAGACATTCACATTAAAATGTTTAATAATAATAATAATATTAATAAAACAAAATAAAAGATGGTATTGACTAAACAAAACATGGGCCAAGTTTTGCCCATAGGTCTTGAATTTGTGACCGTTTCTGGAGATACAGGAAAATAGTTAAAGGTGAAATAAACATAGTAGATATGGTGATATGATTATAATAGTGCAAAGATTATGTCTATATATGGACAAAAACTGGAGGTAAGTATGGAAAAATGAATGTTGGCCTTGGTGGGAACTTAGCCAAATTACTTTATGCCTTTAAACCTCAGTTTCTTCATCTGTAAAATGGGGACTTAAAAAAAATGCCTCCCTCATAAAGCTGTTGTAAAGGTTAAGTGCAATTGTAAGGGTACAGCAGGTAGAAAAGTACCTGGCAAGTGGCTAATAAAACAATTTTTCTCCTCTTCATTTTCCTCCTTATTATTTTGTTATTATCAACTATTTCTGGATCTTATACCCCACCCTCCTCTTCTCCTTTGTTCTGCCACCTCCAGCCACAATATCCTTCTTGACATTTCTTCAACATGTTTTAGCCTTAGGGCCAACATTCTCTTGTCCCTAGTATTCGCCTGCCTTCTTGAGGGTCTCTGCTAAAATGACACTTCCTCAGAAGGATTTTCCTGCTTTCACTCTGCTTTTTTTACATTACACTTAGAACCAACCGACATTTTATTTTGTGTGTGTGTGAGTACCTGGCACATACTAGATGTTGAAGCGTTATTTGTTGAATATTGTTGAATATTTAGGGTGGAGACAATGTGCTTTATTTTTTCCCTGTTTTTTTCTGAATCCCAGGGTAATGATGTTAAATGTGTAATTTAAAAACACTTTTTTTTTTTTTTTGCAGGTGATTTCATTGTGTAGCTCTTCACAATCTTTCCTAACTTTTTTGGCAGATCAGCCATCCAGAAGCTGGGGACAGAAGTATTTGAAGAGGTCTATAATTACCTCAAGAGAGCAAGGCATCAGAATGCCAGCGAAACGGAGATCCAGGACCGTCTCGAAAAAGTGGTGCCGCGGGCCAGCGACTGTTTTGAAGTAGACCAGCTCCTCTACTTTGAGGAGCAGTTGCTGATCACAATGGGAATAGGGCCGACTCTCCAGAACCATCACTAAGCAACTGTCAAAACCCAGCATAAGTTCAAGTGGACAACTTTCTGTGAAAATCCATTAAACATGTAAGCCGGACTCTGTTACGGGAAATGAGCACAAAGCTGGAGCTACCATCTTCACTTTCAGTTCCTTGTCCAAAGTGATGCTCCCTGCAGAGAGCAGTAAACAGGGCTGCCTGTGCTCAGATCGTAAGTGTTGTTTGGACTGTACCCTGAGATAAGCTTATATTAATAGATCGAACTTGGCTTCTCAGAAAGCATTTCTCTCATGTGTGCCCTCAGGGCTTCCAGCAGGGTTGAACCACCCTGGCAATGGTCTGGGAGAAGCCATGTGCTCTTTACCATTTATAATTGGAGGACAGAGCTCAGTGCCCATCTGGGGTCTCCGTGGACTGTGGGCAGACTGATTGCGAAGGTCACTGGACACTGCCCTCTAACATGCTGAGCCACAGCCCAGGAGTCACACATGCCTGTTTCGGGTGTCGCTTTTTGGTCAACTTTTGCCCCTGGATTAAAAATCCAAAACATACACAAGAGCAGAAGAACGGGATCCATTTGTACTCACCATCAAATTGGTATTAACTAATCAACACATAAATGCACATATCAGAACAACATCTATTGGATGCTGGGGAAGGGGGATGGCGGCGGGAGGAGCGGGGAGGAGGGAGGAGGGGACAGGTACTTGTATACACAAGGAGTGCAATGCGCACTACCCGAAGGATGGACATATTTGAAACACGGACTTGGTGGGGGGGAACCAAGGGCAACACACGTAACCTAAACATTTGTACCCCATAATATGCTGAAATAAAAAAAAAAATCCAAAACATCACTCTCTTCTATGATTTTTTCCAAACTCATCAATAAATCATTGAAATCTTTTATTCATAATAAATATATTTATAATGATCACAGAATAAATCATCTATTTTATCTTTTCCTCATGCGAAAGTTTCTTGTGAAATGTAACACGTATATCTAATAATAATTATTACTTAGAGCAGCTAACATTTGGTCTGTTTGGTGCCCATTATGCACCAGTACTGTGCTTAGTAGTTTCAGGGCCTTACTTCATTGAATCTTTTCACCAACTTGAGGGCCGGGCGGGGGAGTGGTGGTGTGTGGGAGGGCAGTGGGAGGAGTTTCAGAGACAGCGAGAGATCCTCAGATTAGCTAACCTGTCTGCAAGAAGCAGAGTTGGGATTTCAACCCAGGTGTGTCTGATTTGAGAGCCCATCCTGTTAACCACTATCCATGTGGGTTTTCAACCAAGGGGCTGCATCAGACTTGCTTGAGAAGCTTTTTAAATATACACACCTTTAAACTTACTGTTAAAGAAAAACTTATCCTGGCACTTGTTGAAATGCAAGGAAGACTTTATTCAGGACTATTTTAACGAATGTCAACACCTGTTGCCATAGGAGAGAGGCATCAAGCTTAACTCAGCAAAGGTAACTGAAGATTTACAACCAAGGAGCAGGCAAGGGGGCTTGGTAGATGGAAAATTACTAAGAGGAGACATTAAGGGTTGGGGAGTGTATTAGTCTGTTTAGTGCTGCTATGACAGATACTGACTAATTTGTAAAGAAAAGAGGTTTATTTAGTTCACAGTTTTGCAGGCTGAGAAGTTCAAGGACATGCCCTGGCTTTTGATGAGGGCTTCCATCCTGTGTTACAACAGGGCAAAGATCGTCAAAGGGGAAGCAGACACCTACAAAGAGGGAAAAACCTGAGGGGTGTTTTGGCTTTATAAAAACCCACTCTTGAGGAACTAATCCATTTCCTCAAGAACTAATCCAGTCTTGAGAGCAAGAACTCACTCATTGTTCGAGAACAGCACCAAGCCATTCATGAGGGATCTGCCCCCCCAATCCAAACACTTCCCACTAGGCCCCACTTCCGAACTCTTCCACATTGGGGGATCAAATTTCAACATGAATTTTGGAGGGGGCAAATATACAAACTGCGGCAGGGAGATTCTTGCTAAACTGACTTAATAAGATTCCTGCTGAAGGCAGGCCAGGGTGATCAGATGTTGAGAGTGATCAGCTAGTAAGGGTGGAGGAGTCTCACTGAATGCTAAAACTGGATTTGGCAGGCCAAAGACAGGGCCAAGGATGAAGCCTAGTGAAAAGAAGAGGGCTCAGGGAGGAGCCTGTCTAAAGTTTAGTCAAGGAGAATCTTTGTCAATATCCAGACCCACCTCCACCACCTGCCTTTCTCTGGGGAGATTCGGAGCCAAAGCATATCTTTTGTTTCAGAACTACCTGGGTGAATCTGATGCAAGAAATACTGTTCTTCACTATTCTGCCTCCTGCTAATGATTGAGGAAACTGAGACAAAGAGGTTCATTGTCTTACTGACATGTAATCATTGGCGCTGTGCCCCCTGCAGGAGGCACTGTCTTTTAGACTAGTGACTCCCACATTTGAGCTGCATTAGACTCACCTGGAGGGTTTGTTGAAGCACAGATTGACGGGCTCCATCACCAGCATTTCTGATTTAATAGTGGTGGAGACTGAGAATTTGCATTTCTAACAAGTTCCCAGGTGGCGTTCATGCTGATGTACCACACTCAGAACCATTGTTCAAGACCTTTCTGTTGCTGCACTTCTCCTTCTCCCTTTATTTGGAGCAGCACTTTTATCTGCTCTTATTTGGGGCCCAATTCATCTCTGAAAGGGGTACAAAGACTGCAAAGAAGGACCCAAAGATTTCAGATGCCACACAGTGAATACAAAAAGGCTGGGGGTCGGGATAGTCAGTGTGAATAACTTGATGAGCTTATTTTAAGGACTCGGGGGCATGACCAAAACCATCCTTGTAAATTTAAAAAAACTAAATTGCTAGGTTTTTAACAAAAACATAAACTTTGAGTAGATGCGTAGCTAGACATTAACCAGTTTACCCTATAGCCTACTTCCTTATAAGCTTACTGCTTAAAAGTCATATAGCCTGTCATAAGGTTCTAACTTCTGTACATAACATCTTTAATGTTAAGAAACCTCAAGTTTTCCATTTGAGATGTTTTCCAGATCCTGCATTCCAAGCGTCGGCTGACAACAGCCAGTCTCAAAACTTCCTCCAAGGAGCCCACTCAGCACAGGAATGCAGTCTCTTCATCTCCCTGTCCCATAATTTCACCCCGAACTTTTGAACAAACAACAAACTCCAACCCCCCCGGGCCCCTGCTCACCAAAATTCCCTCAAAAACCCAGACCAAAACTCCTCAGGGAGGCAGATTTGAGGTTCCCTCCCACCTCCTCATCCGGCTGCTGTTGGACCATAAAACTCTTTCTCTGTTGCAACTCCTGCTGTTTTGGTGTATTGCTCCGTTACCACACAATGGCCACGAAACTGGTGGTCCTATAACATGACCTCTGGGCTCTAAGTCTCTGTGTATACTGTGGCTTTACTTCTGTCTCTGCACAGCAACCAAAGGAACCACCCAAGTGAACGCATAATTTCTCCAGTGCTCAAGAGCTATGAACATCATTCTTCTGTGTTCCCACAGCTCCCTGACACTATGGAGAAGTACTGGGGGCAGCACAGATCTTCACTCTGCCTTTTCCCAAAGCTCATGACGCCCATTCTCACCACCACGACCACCCCACCAGCTCCGCATGCTGGGGAATCATTCGTGGCTGGGAGACTGGAAGACAGGAGCGTATCTGTGCTCTCACAGCCCCTGTGTCTGTGGCAGGAAGAGCAGACCCCAAATTTGGCTTCTGGAGGTGGGATCTGAGATTTTTCAGAATTGTGAACTTGAGCATGTTTCCCAAGTTGAAATCTAGGACATCAAAAATCAGGTTTTCCCTGGGAAACCCCAGATGGGTGGGACCTGTGACCACGCTGCTGCTGAGAGCGGACATGGACATTTCCATCATGTTAACAGGGAAGAGACTTCACCCCAGGAGGAGCTCCCCAGAGCCCCCATGTCCTTTTGTGACCACCCAGGTTGCAAATGAGCCTGGAAGAGAGGAAGCCACAGTAGGACCCAAGTTAATAAAAGTTTCTGAATCTCCTTGCTGATGGTTTTTAAAACATTAGAACAGAAGAAAGTTTGTGGGAGCTGCTGAGTCTGACTAGGAAATAGCTATATTTTCAACTAGTCTCTTTCGCAAACAGATTAACATGCCCAGGGGAAAATACCCTGCATTTCAGAATATGCTTCTAAGAAGACAGGTGCAGACTAAAAACATCTTACCCTCCAGGAATTTGTGCTATACACCACCCTAGGCTTAAAAGAAAACAGAGCTAGAAAGAAATATTAAAATACCATTTTAGAGCACAACTCCATGCCTCTTAAGGGAAGTTTACCTTTCATTTGGCTCACTGGGGTGGGGGTGGGGAGCAAGATTTAACATAGCCTAAGAAAAATATGTTTTATTATTATTAATACCACTGGGAAATGCTTTCTCCTTCAACTATACTTGGTCTTAATTTTGGACCACTTCAGTATGGGTACTAATAACTAACCAACTACAAGATGGTGGGGGAAATTGGCTGAGGAGTTAAAGAACTAGGAAGTCGCTTGTGATGAGACAGTCTCAGGAATGAAGGAATAAAGGGACCCTGCTAGCTTGCTGCTTTGTAAAAAATACATATATATTTCACAAATGCCAATTGGCCTTTCTGCTTTCTGTTTATGCAGAGGAAATGCCACCAGCTATTTTGGGGGATGCGGAGATAAAGCACACAAAGGAGAGTGATAGAAGTTAATTATTTAATGTCTTTGGGGCTGAGGCTGGAGCAAAAGCTCCACTTCTATTGTGAGAGTATAGACATCACAGTGGGCACAGAATAAAGGGGGCTGACAGATGAAGTGGTAACTCAAGGAGGGAAAACACCCCACAATCCTCTTCCAAGATGATGGGACCACTCCACTAACTAGTGTGTCAAAGGGAATGGGCCAGGCCACCAAGATGATACATGAGCAGAGAAGAGGCAAAGAGAGGGA